CCTAGTTATATTTCTTTATCATTTCCAAAGACATGGAACTGTTTTGAGCTTATTCACTCTGCGTTGCCCTTTATTACACTAACCTTTCTAAAGGTTTAGAGTTCATGGCTTTTCTGAATAGTTAGCACGTATATTTGTCTTCATTTTCTACAAAAAATAACTGAAATAGTTATTTCTGATTTTCATTCTGATGAAGAAAAGCATCTTCAGTGCTATGCTAAAATTCTGGATTTTTTGGATTTGGACATGTTTAATCTGTACTGATTCACTAGTCTTGCAGCGGAATCGAATCTGCAATCGTCTGTTTTATTCAATCGATCATATCGTCTCACATTTGCAACATGAGCATGTTGGTGTGACCGACAGTCCTTTTCATGTTTGTCAATGGAAAGACTGTTCCAGAAAAGGAAGGATTTTTAAAGTAAGAATTATAAAGAACTAAAAAAGAACTATTACAGCTCTCATCATGATGTATTTCTGCTGCCGCAATGTGATTCATTTGTGTTACATGTCTTGTTGCTTTTCACGAAAAACTCAAAGCAGGCTGCTTCAGTGAAAAAAGAAGCAAGGGTGCATTCTACATAGAGCTTGTTCTGTCTGCATTTCCGCAGGATGGTCTAAATACTTAAAAAAACCCGGTGGCGTTCAGCGGATGCAAAGCGGGTGGCGGTGCAATGTGCAACTACAGCTTTGAAAGCATCTGTTTTGTTAATCTTATTCTCTCTTGTCCACAAATTATAACATTAATTTTCCCACTTTCTCAGCCACAGGATTCCTTTTCATCTTCTTCTTTTGTTTTGTTGGTAAATTGACACTGGCATATGCCAGGAAATCAAATTCGTCGTAGCATGCAAGTGAGGTAAATTTTGAAAGCGGGAGCTATCGATAGCATTACCTCTGGGTCCTTGCCATCCTAAAATCTAAATATCGGGAGTTTTTTAACGCTATTTAAGACATTTTAGTTCATTTTGAGCGCAGTTGTATGCAGAACCAAGTATTCAAGTCCTACGCATGGGCATACTTTTGCCTTCGTGCAGCTCATTTCTTGTCTGATCCAGTAGAGGTGTAATAATGTGTGTCACTATGATATCATCTGTTGCTGCTACTGTAATTTCACACCATCATCAAAACTTGTTGCGAAATCGTATTATGATTTTGCATCGTTTTTCAGGCAAAATACAAACTCGTAAATCACATTCGTGTGCATACTGGTGAGAGGCCATTTCCTTGTACGATGTGTGATAAAGTTTTTGCAAGAAGTGAGAACTTGAAAATTCATCAAAGGACACATACAGGTAAAAATTTTTATCATACTGTAATGATATTTTTTCAACAAACCTAGTTTACCTGAAACAGCTGTCAGTTTTTTTAAACTCTCCGTCTATGCACCTGGCTACTTTTTCAATTTCTCTGACTGATGCTGCATCGCCTGGTAATCAGTCTGCTGGCGCTCTTGGCAGTCGTTTTGTCTTTTGTAGAAATTGCTAGCCTAGGAGTTCTTCGGACTACTTGACAAGGCATTGGTCATTTTAAGGTGTGCTTGATAAGTGTTAAAAATTCTCTCTTCACCTTGTATAACTATACTCCCAAGCCACCGTGAGACATCCTACCGCGTGATGATAGTTGCAATAAAAATTTTTAGGGCACCTAAGTTGTTTCATCATGAATCAATGGAGCACCTTTGCTTATTAAAGGATTGAACACTTGGACTGCACATTCCTGAAACTAGGCAAGCTGGTTTATATCAGCAATCGATGCATACGCAACAACTTTATTAAATGAAATTTTGGGGTTCTTTACAACCTAATCATTGATCTAAAATTCAGTTCATTAAAAAAAGAACTACGAGCTTGGCATTTTGAGATTACAGTTCGCTGCAGCTCAATACGGATGGCTTGAAATTAGTTTTAAATGTCAGTGCGGGTTCTTCATATCTAAATTATCTGCAAAATCCACATTTCATAATTGCAAACCAAACTCTGCAGTGACAAGCGTTTGTTTTCACACATTATTAGATATTTTACCTCATATTTTGTAATTTTAATTTTAGATGATGCGTGTTTATGTAAAAAGTAAGGGTGTGAAAGTAAGGGAATAAAAAGGAATGTGAATAAGTTAAATCGGAATAAAAACCTGAATAGAAATGTTTCGGCCCATCAAGTCGCATACAAGTTGCATACATTCCTTGTGCCATATCTTTCTGACTGCTTCGTCTTTTTTTTTCATTGTTTTGCTCTTCGTCCCACACACGGTTTTGTGGTGATGGCTCGAAAAGGCGTTGCCTGACTGCGCTAGCTCCCCTTCTTGTACGTTTTTGCAAAAGTCACAAAAATACTTTATCGTGTGTTCGTGTCCCCTTCACTCACAGTACCATTCCGCTTTTTTATTTGTACGAATAAATATACACAGAAATTCTGCTCACTTAATGTTTCAACTCCAAAAATGCAAAATTTAGAAGAACCGAAAACAATGAGCTTCGCTTTTGGCTAAGTACGAATCTAGTAATATGAGACCAAATTTTACGCCTTATTGTATCTTAAAGCAGAGAGCGTCGAGTATTTGGTTTCAGAGTTAGCATTATGTCAGTTCCATGTACTACAGTATTTTAAATTTTCACTTGCTATGAGGCGTCGCGTTAGAGCTCAACAATTTATGTTACCCTTTTTTATATAATAACAATAATAATAATAATAGTAATGATAATAATTGCTATTATTATTTATACTATTATTATTGTTATTATTGTTGTTATTGTCATGAATATGATGATAATTGTTATTGTTAGTATCACTGTTATTATTCGGGTAAAAAATAAAAAAACTGTCATGTATAATTACTGCGTATTTTTTATTGCAGTCACTCATAGCAGCTTATGGCAAAAACCCCCTACCTGCCATTTTGTATTTACACGCCACTATTTATTTACTTCATATTTTCAATTCTTTCAATCTATCCTTTTGGTTTGGGTAAAAAAGTCAAAGCTTCTCTGCACCACAACTAATTTTAACTGCGCACTGGTTAAAATTAGTTGTGAGCTACGCCTTCTTGTCATTAAATTTGTATAGCGCCATTCATATGTTGCAGTTGCATCATCACTCACTGCCAACACCGTAGATATTGTTAATGTTT